GTTTTCTTTAGTTTTAATTTGCCTAACTATCGATCTGACCCAGTAGACGCCATAATCCCACTCTGTCTCTCTCCCGCGTTCTGTTTTTTTTTTTATGGGGGGTGTTTACTCAGTTGGCTAGAGCAGCTGATTGGGGAGAACGGAGGTGCACTCACTCTATTGGTTATTAAGACTGCCACTCAAGGCTGGCAGTCATGCATATGCTCTGGAACAAAGTAATATCGCGTCCATATCGCAGGCTTTGCGATTAGGAAAACGCAACGTCTCAAATCGCGATTTCGATTAGATTTCGATTAATCGCTCAGCCCTACTTAAAACCCTGATAAGGGAATAAATCTATGCAGTGCATTAAGGATTTGTAAATTAATATCAGTCTCTATTTTTGCAAACAATTTTAACATGCAAATATCAGTTTGCAAGGACCTGCAATTTTGTCACAAACTTTCGTTTACTTCTAGATTAGGGCTGCACGATAAATTGCATGCGATATTTAAGCGCATCTTGTCAGAAAGCCGGTTCTGTAATCAGCGGTAAATCTCCATCACCTGCGGGCTTTCACATTGAGCAGCATTAACTACACAGAGCTGTTGTTCACTGACGAGCTGCGCAAAACCACTTTCATATTCGCGCGATTTTTTTTTGCGCAGCTTGTCAGTGAACAACGGCTCTGTGTAGTTAATGCTGCTCAATGTGAAAGCCCGCAGGTGATGGAGATTTACCACTGATTACAGAACCGGCTTTCTGACAAGATGTGCTTAAATATCGCATGCGATTTATCGTGCAGCCCTATCTAGATTACAGTCTTAAAACACTGTTATTTGTTAACTTTATATTTGAAAAGGATACAGGTTATGAAAAGTAACTTGTTTGTTTTTTAAATGTTCCATGTCCAAAATACAACTGTTATTGCTGTCACTTCTAAATCTGTTTGTATCGCAAGCGTGCAGACGACAGTTCATAAACACATTTTTCTGCAGTGGAAGTAGTTCCTTGGTATTACTATATTGGTCAACAGAGATTAAAATGTTTTCTTTCTGAAACATCGTATTGTGCAAAATATAAACAAACAATTCAAACCCACATCGCTGGGATATTTGCAGAGTTTGCAGCTCAACTTTTGCAACATTATCGGCTAGCTTCTTTTTATGTTTGCAAGGAGTTCATAAACACGATGCTTGCCAACACGTTTAACAGTAAAGTCAAATTCACATTCACGTGATTACAAGCTATTTGTTGGCTCTCACATGGGAACAAAGGGGCGTCTCGGTTTCATTCTATGAAGTGCAGGAAAATACCAGCCTTCCTGGGACAAAAAAATATTTACTTTATGTGTTTTTCTGCGAGGTGGGGGCAGGGTTAACAAGTTTGTTGTGGAACCTTTCACCTACATTCCCATGCGTGACAGACTGACAAGTCATATAGCCTTGTGATTGGCTCCCCAAAGCGACTTCCAACCAATCATAAATTAGAATGGTGTTTCTGTCCATTGCTTGGGAAAAGAAGTTGCTGGGCAGTTGTTTCGTTATCTTTAGTCTGTCAAATTAATAAATTAATTTATTTTTAACTGCGGAGTTAAAATATACTTTTTTTTAACCTAAAAGACTGTTCAGAAGAAAGTTTATCTGAATCAACAGGTAAATTATGATGACCATTTAAATTTAATATTTAATCATTACATTTTGAGATTGGAACATTTTCACACAGTTTAATTCTGTTGATACATTTCCAAAGGGTATCATCAATTTTGAGTTGTTTATTGTTTTGACATCAGGAATCTTAAAGTATGGTAACTTAATATAAAGACAAAGATATGAATTTAGTGTGGATGGTGAATGGTGAATAATTGCAAGGATAAAAGTGGCTTGTTTTGCTTAAACATACAGGTTTAACTCAAATGAGCAATAAAATATACATGTTTTGGTTGATGGCGGAGTGATAACCCTTGTTTTCTCTGTAAATGCATCAATAACAAATATTGACAATGTGATGGTTTTTTAATAAAAATAA